GGACTATCATATACGGACTTTTTTCTAGAAATCTTTTTAAATCTGATCACTAAAGAGTTTGTAAATTTCATGCTATATGTTAAAGTGTTTTCGTTTTTAAAATCACCTCTTTCGACACACTACACCAAGACTTTGAATGAAACATGTTTCGTCAGATTACAACTCAGGGGTTTTGAGATCATTGATGAAATGTGCTGTCTTTTTTTGTCCATTTGCAATGGTTCAAAGTCTCCTTATGATAGCATACTAATATAACCGTCACCCAGACATTTCTCTACATATATTCTGCGCTTGTGACGAAAAGAACCACGCCAAGGACGAAACGATCCCTTGTCYATCCTCAGCTCCTGGCATGCTTCCTTTCGATGTTGATGTTGCTCACAGAAAAGCTACAGAAAGGCAAAGGCACCATAGATTGCAGTTGCACACACCATTCTACGCTGACCAAATCCTATGCAGTATCACGACTCGTCTCTCCAGTATGAAACATTGATAAATGAATCGGCGTCTATATGAAGTTCATGACTTTATCGATRAACAATATGTACAAATAAGGCCTTGACATGGAGCCTTGGCAGATTGCATCTAGCCATGCAACTAATCATTGACCGCCCMTTTCTGCCATGTCGTTCTTGAGAAAATTATACCAGTTCGCTAAGGACAGAATACTTTTTGATAATTTTCTATTGGCTTGCAAGATATTGAAGTACAGTAAAAAAATCAAGTCAGCCTTGTTGGTTTYGAGGCAATAAATAATCAGTACAGTTCCATACCGTCTGACGAAATATGGCTGCGAAATTCTCTTGTATCTAATGCCCCTGAAAAAGTAGAACATCCTTGCAAAAGGATATGTTTGTCGTCAGTACGACCACCTAATTTTTCTATAAGGCTAGTGCTCAACTGATCTCACATCGCGGGTGTAATAGTTCGGTTGAGGGTTCTCGAACATAAGCGATTTTCATTGGGCCTTCTTCTTAGTCGTCTGCTGCGTTTGAGATGACTTAGGGTACTATTTGGATCATCACTTTTCGGACACTCACGGTGTGCAGCGGTCACAGATTGGTTCTGTATAATTATATTTCAACATACATCAACCAGATGACGAACTAGATCCTGAGGATAATTTTCTGTCGATGTTGAATTGATGACTTTTCCCTGCAAAGCTTGTCAACTATTTTTGCCAACAATTCAGCTAGGAAAATAATGTTTCCCAATACACTGTCTGTGAGATTTGTTCAGAAATCCAGGGAGCCCAGAACTGAGTGCACTCAATTCTTCTACAAGAAKATTGTTCGTAGATATGGATATGGAGTTCTCGGAAATGAATCTCGTATACCAGAATGACACTTTTTTTATTTCGATATTGACACAATTTACATTGAAAAAGATAATTGTTGCTAATATTTGAATTTTATGATTTTTTAAGGAGTTGTAATTGCTTTACACCGGCAAGTCTTGCCGAAACGCTGTAAACAACATGCACTGAATCAGATGAGCGCTCAACAGCTAAATGGGAGCAAGCTAAATGGGGCAAGTGATTACTACTGTATCTTGAAATAACACAAAATTCTTTTTACGTTATTTGATTTTCTTTAAAATGACGCAGATTAACAGCACTAGAAATTAAAAAAAAGCAACAAAAGAGTGAAAGATCACGCCTTTGTATTGCATAATATAAAAAATCAAAAGGATTTATCACAGTAAGCAACCAAATTCTACATCATCATGCGTAAAATAAAACACTCGAAAAAAAATAATGGTTGGGTCGTGATAATACCCCTCGAGTGCCCCGACTGATGAAATCGTTTACTAACAACCCAACTTGGAACTCTTGGGCATTGGAACTCGTCTCAAATATTACCAAATTCTAAGATCTCAAAAATATTTACTATGTTTATCTGTGTTAAACATGATTGGTTGGGAAAACATGGGAAAAGGCGAGAAAGCCAATGTGCAGGTTCTAAGATTAAAATCGTTCTTGAAGTCAAGCGTACAGTATTAAGTATAATTGAGCTAATAGATTACAGCAATTTT